AAGTAAGAAATTGCACATGCAGGAGCTGGTTTTCAACCCCTGACCCAGTGAACAGCTTCGCTAAAGCTACATTATATTTCTTAGCAATGACGTGATAACTTTCGCTTGTTCGCAAGCTTCACTCTCTATCTCTCTCTCTCTCTCTCTCTTGTTAATTAATTCAAATTCATTTAAATAAATATCATCTTGGCGCTACTTTATTCACTAAAGAATTCCACCTCTAACGAGCCTAACAAATTAAAATTACCGTTATTTTCCGTTATTTATCCGTTCAGTCAGATTTTGTGCTGCAAAACATCCATGACAGCTGTTGTCCATGCTGGCAAATAATAATGGCCACTTGACAGGTATTATATAAATCATTTTAATAGCACGGCCATTCAAAACCCGAGGGTCTACCTTTTGCATAGTATAGCAATCATTGACTATCATTTTGGATGGGGATTATGTAAACACAGATATCAGATACCAGTAGCGTCTAAAGTGAATGTAAACAGACGGGTCAGAAGATCTCTGCATTAAGACTTGCAGTGTAAATGCAGCCAACTTTAGCTGCGCTGCACACGCTGAATTAAAGTAACAGCGTATTGTTTGCGGTAAATATGAACATGGATTGACACGAAAATGCATATCATTAAAGTTTACTGTGCTTCACAGTCAACACATATGGCTTTTTGGCTAGGTTTAAAGGGAAAGAGCACTTTTAGATAAACAAGGCAATAATAGATGGCACTCGTGGAGGTAGGAAAACAAAGTTCTTTATGAACCGCAGGATTGCTTGTAATGAAGATTTCAATGCAAAAGGAAAGGCAGTAGAGCTGACTATTTCTGTCAATGGTAAGTTTGTGATAATGTAAGAAAAGTAGTTTAAATGTTTTGCCACTTGCTTGAGCAGCTTAATATATAAATCTAGAAGTAAATGCAAAAGCATTTGAATAATGTGTTGATTATATTTATTGTCTGAAAAACTGTATTACTGTACTGTGTAAAAAAAAAAGAATTGCAATACTGAAAAAGCATTTTCAGTGACAATGTTTGGATTTGAAATCAAAATAATGGATAAATGTTGTGTTTGTGGTAAACAGCCACTGATCAGTAGTGGACTCCTGTGTGAAAGCTGCTTCTCCTCTCACAAGAGACACCTAAGAGGGGAATTCCCCCATTTTCAAAAATGAAATTCAGGCTCTGAATAAATCTCTAAAAATCCTGATCAGAGTGTCACTATAAATAGTTATAAATGATAAAAAATAAGGCTTTAAAAAGATCAGTATCGGTGATCGTATCGGCAGATACTGATTTCTGTGATTGGCGATCGGTGATCGGCCTCAAAAATCCTGAGCACCACTAATTATAAATGTCTTCACTGACATTTTTGATCAATTTAATGCATCCTTGCTGAATAATAATAATAATAATAATAATATAATTTATTTAAAAAAAATCTGTTATGTCACTTGAAATAGTTTTATTTTCTGTATCGTAACTGCTGTGGCACTGCAGACCCTAAGTATTGTAATAGTAATATTGATGTTTGCCTTAGCAAGCACTAAGAAGATTTTTCTCTGCACTATTAGAATATTACAGTTTTTTTTACAGTATTTATTAAATGTAAAAAGCAGTGGTACCGATACATTTTTCTCTTTCTCTCTCTCTGCGAGCTGCTGTAGGTCTGGCAGGATCTCTGGCCCTATTTTTGGCAGGAAATGGGTGCAGTTCAATACGGCGCAGTAAACATTTGTTAACAAGCAATTAAACATGTGGCTTTTAATCCACTGGAAAAGACAGCCATCAGCTCAGTGCGTGTGTGTGTGTGTGTGTGTGTGTGTGTGATTGGCTCAGCCCATCCAGCTCTTTTTCTACTGTTCTCCACCATAACTTCCTCCTGCGTCTACAACTCCACCCTGATTTTGAATTTCAGACTAATCTAAATAGACCGATAACTTGAACATACAGTGAGCCACGAGTTCACATATGTCAGCTCACAAATACATACGTGCATAATACTTATCTTTCAGTTTCTCTCCAAAGCTGTGACATGACAAGACATGACAGTGTGATCGAGTATGTGCACAGATGAGGAAGTGTGAGTGTGTGCACAGAAACATCACTGGAATGGTGTGGTGCAACAGTGGCCCTATCAGATCTTTGAGAATGAAAAACGACATGTAAACGAATGTGTGCGACTGTGACCTCAGAGGTGGGAGCCTCATTCCTCACAAGATCCTTCTCATGGAAAGTCCTGCTGGCTGTTTTGCTGCTTCATACCTGTCCTGCTAAGAACGAGTAAGAAGTAAGAAGGTAAGAACGAGTGTGATAGAGGTTTTGAAGAAGGAGGTAGGTGCTGTAGCTTTACTGCAGCATGTGATAGTTTTAACCATAGATGTTTCTCCATGGAAATGTTTAATGGAGGGAGGGGAGATTCACAACTTTTTTAAGAATATCCACTCTTTTTAATTTAACTCCTGTCGGGCATCAGATTCGCTCTTCACTGTGGGCCCAGCATGCACTGCAGCTCCTGTTATATCACTCACTCTGGCTGATGTTCTCCTCCCTGCTGTTTACTGCATGTTCTGGAAGAGCTCTTCACACTAGTGAGTCAGAAATACAGCAGCATAAGCCCATCATCTTGATAAGACCCCCGAAAGCTGCTCTCACACCCCAGCGGTCTAGTCACCTGAAATCAAAATTCAGTCCTCATTTACTTTGGTTTCAATATGGCAAGTGGCAAATAAGATGATATTTAGTCATTTAGTCATTTATGATATTTAAATGATTATAGTAGTTTTATGATTAAAGCTCTGTATTTTTTATTGTGGTGGGGCAAAACATGCAATAATGCAATGCAATACAATGATGATTGAGAGATGTAAAAACAAACGCTCCTCAGAAGCCTGTTGTATCATATTTGATATATTTTAAAATAATTTTTATTAAAAAAATAATAATGTCTGGGTTTTCAGCAATATTTTGATCATGCTTTTAATTTAGAGGAACTCTGTGTATCAAATACGATACAGTAGGCTTTGTAGTGTTAAGATATATATAGTAAAAGGGAAATTTTCAGTCTTTTCATCACAGAGACTCTGTAGAATTGTAATATAGTGACTTGGAGTAGTCTGGACTCCTTTTATGATACTTCTTGTAGAGTTTGGAACTCTATAAAATAGTTACATAATGCAAATATTTTGTGCTAAAATATTTTTAAACCTGATAAATTGCTTTTTGCACCTGTTCTCTGCTCATTTTGTTGAGTACATGGCCTGTCAGTCCATCAAATTGAACGAGATTGATTTGTTTTTATCAGGGCATGAACTCTGTCCCATTGTTTTCGCCTCAAAGCTTGAGTTTCTTATATATGTGTCTTTATAAATTACGACAAGTAACCCTACAAGCGATCTAATTACGTGGGAAGAGTTCAGACACTGTGCTGCGGGATAGATTTTCTCCCGATGGCCCCAGATCAGCCTTTTGTACTCTGCGTGAGCTTTTGATGCACTCTCTGCTGTGCTCAGATAAGACTTAAGCACTTCTGCTGAAATCTCTCTGATTTTTTGGCCTGTGGGTCAGTTCATATGGCGCCACAGTCAGTCTGCAGTAGATCACTTTCTTTTTGTCTGTCGTCTTTCTTTCTCTGTTTCCTCTCTTCCTTCTAAAGGCCAAGAGCTTTGAGCCCATGATTTTAGGAAGCCACTGTGCTGTTTCCAGGACTACTAGATGTCACCTGTTGCAGTTGCAGCTGCAGATCTGACCTGAGAGGAATATGGAAAAAGTGACAGATATTAGAAATTTATAGAGGGGGACTCACTAAAAAATAAATGCTATTCCACTGTCCAGTTCATTTGCTCATTTATTGGTTCATTTAATTCTATAATATACTATATACTAGATAATCTAGTTTTTATTTTATTTTATTTTTTTCCGATCTCAAATCACTTCAGACAGTTTCCAGACATTACTGTGCAGATTCGTTTTCTCAGAAAACATTAAAACCAACACACACAAAACAATCTCTTTCCCCTGATATCTCTCGTAGTTTGGTGACACATCTCTCTCAGTAATGGCAAAGATCTCAGAGCACTCATGCCTTTATATTACCCATAAATTGTGTATTTTATTTGATCTGTTTCCCAGAAACTGAAGTGAACTTTCCATTATGGCTGTGTAGGTGTGCTGAGTGGTTTCTATACTGTAGATGGTTATCCGCTTCTGCCTTGCTGTGAGTCTGGTGAACACACTCGTTCACTCACACAACATGCAACTTCACTGTATGCTTTTATTTAGGCCGTTGTTTTTTCATTTGAAGTCTTTTATTTAATGTTAAATTAATCAAATACTGTCTGTTTTTAAACTATTTACACTGATATTAGACCTATTTCAGTATCAGTATTATGATACTGTTAGCATCAAATAGTTGTTTTGGCGGGGTGATTTGCATCTTTATTATGTGGTAAAGAGGGCTCATGGAAGTTTTCAATGTCTGTAGATAGACCGATAGAATCAACCAACCTTGTTTTTTCTTTTGATCCTTTTCAGTGTGAGTTTTTCCTGCAGCATGTTTGTATTTGGCTTCTTGCAGTTGACGGTCAAGGCCTCTCTGTGTTTTGTATGCCAACCGCTGTTTTGTCTGAGATGGCAGTGACCTTTGTGATAGCTCATGCTGTTTCTGCCTCTCTCTCTCAATGGATGAACTCATCATGGCGTTTAACTTATGGTCCTTTCACTCTAGATGATCAAAACTGACACGGGCCTTTTTGTACAAAATTATCCTCTCTCTTCAAGGTCATAAGCGAATCTGGGACTTTGTTTTAAAGGATTGTTTCAGTCAGCCTTTCCTCACCCTCATGTCGCTCCAAATCCAAATGACTTTCTTTCTTCCATGGGACATAAAAGGAGGCATTTTTAAAATGTACAAGTCACTCTTTTCCATGCTATTATGGAACTGGAGCTATCTAACTTCAAAGATGGAACATAATGAACGTAACCATAAAAGTTTAGAAAACATGAAGGTGAGTGAATGATGACAAAATTATTTTTTCTTTTTTTTATTGGTGAACTCTCCTTTTAAACTCATTTTGTTTGTGTGTGTGTGAGATTTTCTCAATCTCTTGTTGTGCTCTCCCTCAGCGTGCAGGAGTGTAATTTGATCTTTATCGATTGAAAATGCTGTTTACATGAGCTGGAACACGGCACCAACACTGGGAAAGTATGTTATGGGGGAGCATTGAGCTCTGATGTCTCCCTCTGAGTGTTATAGATACTGATATCCTGTCTCTCTGCGTTCACTAAATCTGACTGCTGGAGTCCAATCTGGTTTATGCATCAAAAACCTTTTAAGCATTGCATGTCTTCCGCCGTCCACACCCGTATTTATCACACCTCTTCGCTTCTTCTCTTGATATACCAGATATGAAAGAAGCGATGTCGTACATGTGAACGTGGTGCTGTGATTTATATTACATGCCATGAGTGTGTGGCTTTATAGGGGCATGCTTTAATGAGGTTTAAAACACTCATTCAGAGTTTCGAGGATGTGTGGAGTTGAGATGAGACTAGAAATGCATTTTGAGAGCTGTTTTAGTTATTCATCAAAGCTGAATTTGCTCGTTCTCCATTTAGTCTTGTTTATTTGTGCTGTGAGCTTTATGCAAGATCAACGCTTTTTTGTTGCAAAATAAAAATAGCAGCTTTCTCTGTGTTCCTTTGAGATTCCTCAATTCCGGTGGTTATTTTGGCCTGTTGCAGAGCGTTCCGTTCAGTTGATTATTCTACGTTATGTGCACGGAGATAAAAGGCAACTCATGTGACTGTATGGAAAGGATCAAAGCTGGATGTTTTTTATATATATATATATATATATATATATATATATATATATATATATTTTTTTTTTTACAGTAATGTGAAATTTTTGTGTGGGAAATGTGCTTAATTATCATTACAATAATGTCAAAAATATGACCTGAACATTTTTGACAGGTGCCTTGAGAGATGTATCTTGTAGCTACGTTTTATTAGAGATAAGAATGAACAAAGTACAGATGATAAAAGAGATTTTCAACTCAATTGACAGTCTCAAATTTCTTCCTCTTCTTTGAATTCTTCTTTAAAGTTAAATCTCTTTCAGGTCAGCGCTTCTGTTTAGATACATGGGGGCTTCCCGCTTCATATGACGACTAAATCTCCACAGTCAATAAATGTAATGCGTCACAGCATTTTCTTTCCCAGCCTCACCCGGCTGTCAGGTCTTCAGAAGAAAACATATATTAGAAATAACTGATCAGAGGGGAGAGGGGAGAGATCTGCATCCGTTCATCTGGGGCATCTGAGTGACTTTCTCTTTGGAGTAAAAACACGGTCCGCTAGTAGACAGCGAAGGGCTGTTCTTTGAAGGCAGGTGTTCAGCTTTACGGATGTGAAACGACACTTTCTTCGCTCCGAACATCACAGTCATTTTAATGAGGAGACATTCATCAAAAAACACTCTCCCAGCTCTCTCCAAACTGACGTATTCTCAAACTAACCTGATTGTGATAAATTGCCTTCCCAAAATTTCCATTTCTCCCCCAGCTTTTAGCAAACAATTAAGTGGTTTTGGGGCACAATTACTGATATTTAAGAAGAACTGAAAGTGGGCTTGTGGGAAAAGAGCAATGAGGGAGAAGTCTGTGGGGAAATGCCATAGAATAAGGACATAAAAATAGAGATGAGGGCCTTTCGTTATGCAAACACAATTTATCTCTCTCTCTCTTTTCCACTCCACAGATTGACAAGATTATGAGCTCCATAGGTGCTGGAATTGGAACAGAGTTGGAGGGGATTACGGAGGATCACTCAGGTTTGTGTGTCTCTGTGTGTGTGGTGTTGCTGCATATAGTCAGTCATCCCACTACATTTAACATATATCCATAACTATAGGGAGCTCATGGCATGATATGAATGTTAACTAACGGCTGTGAAGTGTGCAGCGCTGTGAGACAGGAGGGTTTCCTTCAGTAGCATCAAAGACCCGCTCATAGACAGGGAGCTTTTTGAGATGTAACCATGGCTATCGTTCACTCTCCTCTTGTCAATGTGCTCTTCCTGTAGTCATAATGAGAGCAGGGGGACAAGAAGTGGTTGGACAGTTTAGACCTCTAAGCACTGATCTTGGGACAGTTTTGCTGTTTGCAGTGGGAGGGAAAGGAACATCTCATTGACTGGAAATCAGTGTACTAAGATTTTGACAGCAATGATAAATAGTGAAAATAGTGAGAATCAAACGATAGAGCTAATAATGAGGACATTAACATTGTCTCCAATGGCCCTCCCCTTACCTCCTCTCTTCTCCGCTCATCTCCTGTCCTCTATCCTCCCTTCTCTTGTCTCCTTTTGCCTCCTCTCATTCTCTTCTCTCCCCTCCTCTCCCCTCTCCCTTTGCCTTTTCTCTTGTCTCCATCCTCTCTCCTCTTTTTTGGCTCTCATTTTGTCTCCTGTTGCCTCCTCTCATTCTCTCCCCTCTCCTTTAGCCTCTGCTCCTGTTTCCTCTCCTGTCATTCTCTCCTCTGCTATCCCCCCCTCTCTTTTGCCTCTCCTTTCACCTTCTGTCCTCTCTCCTCCTCTCTTTTTGCCTATCCTCTTGCCTCCTCTATCCTCCTTTGCCCTCATGTTGCCTCTTCTAATGCTTTCTTCTCTCCTACTCTACTTTTGCCTACTTTGCTTTTGTCTCTACTCCTGCCTTCTCTCCCCTTTTTTGCCTCTCCTCTCCTGTCATTCTTTCCTTTCACCTCTTCTCATATTCACTCCTCTCTTTTGCCTCTTCTTTCACCTTCTGTTCTCTCCTCTTTTTCTTCCTTTTTGCTCTCGTATCCTGTTGCCTCACTTCTTGCCTCCTCTCCTCTCTTCTCCTCTGTCAACTTCTGTCATCTCCTCTCCTCTCTGTTCACCTCTTTTCTAATCCCATCCTCTCTTTTGCCTCTCCTCTCACCTCCTGTTCTCTCTTTTCTCCATCGGTCTCACCTCTCTTCTGCTGTCGCCTCCTTTCCAGTAATTCTCTCATCACTTTTTGCCTCTCCTCTCACTTCCTTTCTTTTCGCCTCTTTTGTCACAACCTGCCCCCTCTCCTGCCTCCTCTCCTCTGTCATTTTTTCCACTTATTTCACCTCTTTTCCTGTCCCTTACACTTTTTGCCTCTCCTCGAACACCCCTCCCCCATTCTCTCCTCTCATTTGCACCATCTGATTTTGCCTTTCCTCTCGCCTCCTTTCCTTTTGCTTCATGTCTATCTTTTCCTGTCCTCTCCTCTTGCCCCCTCTCATTTCACCTTCTCTCCTTTCATCTCTCCACTCCTCCCACCTCCTCTCCTGTTCTTGCACATCTCCTCTCACCTGTCCTCTCACCTCTTGCCTGTTATTACTACTTTCATCCCTTCCTCTTGACTCCTCCCCATTTTGTTCACCACCTCCACTTTACCTCTCCTTTCTCCTCCTCTCTCTTAATATCTCCCCTCACCACCTCTATTGTCACCTTTCATCTTGTGTCTTATTCTTTCATTTCGACTTGTCTCCTCTCACCTTTACTCTCCTCTCAACTCCTGTTCTCTCCTCTCACCTCCTCTACTTTCACTTCTTCTTTCATCTCCTCTCCTCTTGTCTCGTCTCCTTTCCTCGCCTCTCCTATACTTTTGCTTCGCCTCTCCTCTGCAGTGGTCCCTCATTTTTCTGTCCACAGAAAGCCCATTTGTGTTGCCATTCCACCAGTGCTCACAGACACCCACAGAGTGTGTGTGTGTGTGTGTGTGTGTGTGTATATGTGTGGGAGGGAGCAACAGCAGCTTCTGCACTCAGACAAAGAGGCTGGGGTTGATCTGATGGCTATTATCGGCAATGTGAGGTACAGCTAGTGGAAAGAAGGGAGGGAGAAAGAGAGACCAAGAGGGAGGGAGAGAGAGAGCGCACAGTGGCACAGGATGCAGAGGCATACAAATGAGTGTGGGAGTGCTGGAGAAACAGAATTCTACCAAGCAAGCTGCACGCTGTCATTCCTATCCTCTTTCACAAACGCACACTCGCTCATTCCCTCCCGCACGCGCACACACACATGCCTGCACTCTCCACACGTCGAGACACAGGTTGAGCAGCACAGCGGCTGAAGCGGTGGTTGGTAATCGTGCATCTCTCTCGCCTCTATTGTGGATGTAATTTGGAGCCTTCAGCATGTCTATCTCCACAGCCGGCGTATTTCTCCACCAGCGCGGACCCTAACGCTCACCCTCCAGAGAGGACCCTCTTCTAATTTGCTCTATTTCTGTTTTCCTCCCCTTTTCAACTGTTTTCTAAACATTACTATCTTCTTTTCTTTGAAATCACTTTTCTACCTCCTTTTCTCGCTCTCTCTGCTTCTCCCGTTTCCACTCGCGCTCTCCGTCGCTTGTTGAGCATGGCGGGTTCGTTTGACAGTCACTTTGCACGGAACATGATGTGGCAGTGCCAGCTCTCACAGCCGGACTGTCGCTGCTACCGGGTGGATGGCTACTCACTTCTCAAACGCCTCCCTCTGCACCCCTTGATAGGTCCCCGCTGCCCCGTCCAGTCCGTGGGACAGTGGCTGGACAACATCGGTCTCGTGCAGTATGAAAACCACCTGCTGTCTAACGGCTTCGACAACGTTCAGTTTATGGTGAGTGTCTCCTTCACACTTCCATCTCTGTCTTTCCTTACGGCCAGTTTTCTGAGCATGTCTTTTTTCTTTTTTTTTTCAACTGTTTTCTAAACATTACTATCTTCTTTTCTTTGAAATCACTTTTCTACCTCCTTTTCTCGCTCTCTCTGCTTCTCCCGTTTCCACTCGCGCTCTCCGTCGCTTGTTGAGCATGGCGGGTTCGTTTGACAGTCACTTTGCACGGAACATGATGTGGCAGTGCCAGCTCTCACAGCCGGACTGTCGCTGCTACCGGGTGGATGGCTACTCACTTCTCAAACGCCTCCCTCTGCACCCCTTGATAGGTCCCCGCTGCCCCGTCCAGTCCGTGGGACAGTGGCTGGACAACATCGGTCTCGTGCAGTATGAAAACCACCTGCTGTCTAACGGCTTCGACAACGTTCAGTTTATGGTGAGTGTCTCCTTCACACTTCCATCTCTGTCTTTCCTTACGGCCAGTTTTCTGAGCATGTCTTTTTTCTTTTTTTTTTTGTCATCAGTTGCTTGTTGTGGGTGGTGTGGGTTTGCATGTGTACTTGAGTGTTTGTTGTTTTCTGTTTGTTCTCAGGTGAGCTGTTTTGTGATTATGTGAAATCTGCTTTGCTTGAGTTCTCAGTATCTTAATTTGCTGGTCTCCTGTTACATCACGCTATGATATTTACTTGAATATTGTGATGTTTCACATGTGAATCTAAAGTATTGCCTGGCCTGTATGTTTCCTGTCTGTACTCCAATATCAGCACTTTGGAAACTCAGGAACTTTGGAAAGCAAAGATATTTAGTTAATTATACATTTTCATTATAAATATTTGATCTAACATTTCTAGTTTTGAAGATTGTAGAAGTTTAGTAACTGGATGAAAATAAAAAAAACTGTATAAAAGAGCCATATAATAGGAAAATAGAAATTGAACAATAATATATTATAGAAATAAAGAATATATGATAGGAATTATATATAATATAAACACAATATGTTTCATGATTACCTTATGTTGTTATAAATATTATCTTACACTCTAAAAAATGCTGGGTTGTTTCAACCCAGCTTTTAGGTTAAAAATGTAATTAAAAGATTTTACTCAACAGCTGGGTTAGTCCATATTTGATCCAAAGTTGGGTTGAAACAAGCCAGCATTTTTTAGAGTGTATAAATAGTGCTTTTGTTGTTTGTGCAGTGCTGCATGGGTACTCATTAGTACATTCTATTCCAACACGTGGTCAACGTCACTTCTCTGACAATGCAGAAAACATGTTCACCGTGGGTGTGTTCAGAAGCATGAATGCATTCAGATGCATGAATGCATTTGCCTGGTTTGTGTTGGTGTAGGTTTGGTGGAGAAATTGTTAAGGCAATCCATCTTCAACTACCAAAACAATCATGGGTGTTTAGGAGCTGCACCTGTAGAGATGAAGGGGCAAGTTGGAGGATGTTGTTTCCGGGAAGAGTCGATCAAAGCTGCTATATGTTTATTAGTTTAAAGGAAATCTAGTTAAGCTAGTTAAGAAACCATGTTGTTGATCAGCTTATGCCGTTTTTCTGCAGGGAAGTGCAATGATGAACTGAAAGTGCACTAAAAACCACACAAGTCATCATGAGTGACCCATTAACTCACTTTAGCATGTTTCCTACACTCTTAAAAATAAAGGTGCTTCAAAAGGTTCTTCAAGCGATGCCATAGAAGAACCATTTTTGGTTCCACAAAGAACCATTCAGTCAAAGGTTCTTTAAAGAACCATCTCTTTCTTATCTTTTTATAATCTGAAGAACCTTCTTTCGCCACAAAGAAGCTTTTGTGAAACAGAAAGGTTCTTCAGATGTTAAAGGTTCTTTATGGAACCATTTAGACAAAAAGGTTCTTCTATGGCATCGTGAAGCACCTTTATTTTTAAGAGTGTATGCTCACACAGTGGCTAGTGTAAAACAAACAGTACACTGCAAAAATAATTTTCTTAATCACTATTTTAGTCTTGTTTTATAGTAGAAATGTCTAAATGTGCTTAAACCCACATCAATTTACTTGAGAGTTAAATTTGCATTATTTATTGTTGATATTAAGGCTTGTCTTTAGATAATATATCCTGAATATTTTATACTCCATTGGCAAATTGTTTTACTGTAAGTGTAAATCTAACTAAATTTAGTGAGCGGAAAAAATTGCCAGAGGGGTAAGAAAACCTAATTTCCAAGAATATGTCTTGAATTAAGTAAATTAATTAAGTCTAAGATTTGAATACAAGACACAAATACTGATTAATGAAATAGTTTTTTTGCTGTGTACAATATTCAGAAAGGCCTATGTGAACATCATAGTATTAATATACTTTTAAGATCACTCATTTTCACCCTGCAAGCTTCTAGAACAATGTCTTTGACTAGGTACAGTGAGTCAATGCAATCTGTTTTGTTCTCTTGCGTTGTGTGTAGCTCTATGCTTTTAGACTTCTAATTTATTTGTTGCAGACTGTGGCTCTACCAAAAGGAATTATTTCACATAAACTGCACTGAGCTGATGGATAATGGCGTTTTGACTAAATCTTATACATTGTGTGACCGAATCAGATGCTCATGCATACGTTTGTGTGTGTGTAATGAGTCGTTTTGCAAGTGTTTAGTTGCTCATGCTGATTACCCTCCCCCAGCTCTGACCTGCATCCATTCCTGTGGTTGCCGAGGCAACAGCAGAAAGAAAAGAAGAGTATTTGTACTCTGTACTTGAAGAGTACAGAGTATTTTAGCTATATAAGTTTTTTAAAATGTGTGTTTCCTTCCCAACTGTTGTCAAGGAAATGGATTACACTGTTTCCCTGCGGAGCATTTTTAATAGGGTGTTAAAAACCTCCCGAAGCCAGGGCTAATTTGTCAGCACCCGTCGTAGTGCCAACATTGACAGCTTTACCTGCTAGCAATACAAAATACTGAACGTGACCTTATCCAAGAGGTACAACAATCAAAACTCTTTATTTATAAACATGCTCTCAGTGGTTTTCATTAATTAATAATTGCATACAGTTATGCGTTGTTTTCATGCAGAATTTCTGCTGGATTCTCAACAGGTACATTAGCATAAAATTGTGTTCTTTATAATATTGATGTATCCCAGTTGTGTGTGCCTGCAGTTAATCATTAGTATATTACGAGTCCAACCATCTCCATATAAGGGCTTTCTATACAACCTCACCTGTACAGGTGCAAATATTGAGAGAAAAATGCCACACTAAAAGGATGTTCAATTGAATAAATAGCTTTTATATAGGCTTAAGCTACACATGATTGTGTTTAAAACCTCACGTTAGCCAAATGTTTTTTTTTCTTTTGGTTTGAGATATAATGCACATTTTTGAGAAATAAGTAAGGCTTATTGAAAACATATGTACTGTTTATGCACTGCCATCCAAGTTTCAGTTCAGTAAGATTTTTTAAACATTAATATTTTTATTCAGCAATGATGCATTTAATTGGTCAAACATGACAGTTAAGACATTTACATTGTTAAAAAATTGGGGCTGTCAGTCGATTAAAATTGTTAATCTAATTACACAATGTGGTGATTAATTAAATCTAATTAATTGAATATTGCAAATTAAATTTGGCTGAGAAATTACCCACAAAAATAACTTAAAGCCAGTTTTGTATTACATGAGAAAAGCATGAAATATATATTACAAAAAATAGCTTTAGAATTTTTTTTTCCTTTTTTTTTCATTTTTGAGTTAACTATTTCTTTAAGTTTTTATTAATATGGATTTTTTTTATTAATATGTAAATATGAAGTGATTTTTTTTTTATGAACTGATACTCTAGAAATAAGAAGCAAAAATGTCCAGTAGGTGGCAGTAAATTAATAAGTCATTGAGTCATTAATTTGATTTGTTCAAACGGCTGATTCATTCAGGAATTAAAGGGGTCATATGATGCGATTTCAAGTTTTCCTTTCTCTTTGGAGTGTTACAAGCTGTTCGTGAATAGATAAGATCCCTAAAGTTGCAAAGACTAAAGTCTCAAACCCAAAGAGATATTCTTTATAAAAATTAAGACTTGTCCATGCCCTCCTAAAACGCCTCGTTTAAACACGCCCCCACATGTCTACATCACGATGTGGGAAGATTTGCATAACACCGCCAAAATGTTCATGCAAAGAAAGAAGGCTTAACTTTGATTCTCGCTGTAGTATTGTTGCTGCTGCCATGTCGTGGAGACGCTGTGTGTTTAGTTGTGAAAGCGAAACTACTTTGTTTGGCCTTCCAAAAGAGGACACAACTAGAAATCAGT